CCAGAATCCTGTTTTTAAAGTTTTATTGAGTCACAGTCATGTGCATTTATGTGTTTTCTATGGTTGTGTTTGTATCACAGTAGCAAAGTTGAATGCTTGTACCAGAAACTGTATGATCCACAAACCTAAAGTATTTGTTGTCTTATCTTTTAAGGAAAAAAAATGTAGATCTTTGTTTTAGATCCTTATGAGTGACATTAGCCGGGCTTGGTGGCTCAACCTGTAATCCCAACACTTTGGGAGGCCAAGACGAGTGGATTGCCTGAACTCACAGGTTCAAGACCATCCCAGGCAATTTGATGAGACCTCATCTCTACAATAAATCAAAAAATGAGCCGGGTGTGTTAGTGTGCACCTGTAGTTCGGGTTACTTGGAAGGCTGAGGTGGAAGGATCGCTAGAACCCAGCAGGTCGACCTGGGGTGGCCTTGAGTGTGCCACTGTACCCTAGCCTGGGAAACAAACAGAGTGAGACTCCAACTCCAAAAACAAACAAAAAAAGTAGCATTAATTTTTGCCATCCCATATGATTAACTACCTTGACTAGATGGGTGCAATTTTAGAGATTTTTACTTGGTCTTCCTCATTATAACAGTTATTTTCCTATAGACCAAGGACTCAGTGTTGAAGTTACATCGGCCACTAAGTGTGTCTACCCTTGTTAAACATTTGTAGACTGGGGAAATGGCCCCTAGATGGGCTCATAGATGTATTAAAATAATGCTGTGCTAAACCTTAGCCAAGAATCTATTTATTACTTGGCCTTCATATGTTCTCACTCTGACAGGGTCCATGATGCTTTGAGTCAGTCAAGTACTGATGTCAACTAGAACCCTGTTTCCAACAGACTTCAAAATGTTTGAGTATTCCTTTTTCCCTTAGTGTACTAAAATAAGTGGGTGTAGCTCTTTTTAGGAGAATTATTACTGTGTATATTTGCCAGCATATTTCAAGGGCCTTCCTCTTGGGAATGTGGGCTTTTCTTCAATTAGCAGCAGGGAATATGTCATAGTAAGATCTAGAAGACTTTGGCACAAACACTAGTTCTCATACCTCTCTTGACCTCATCTAAAACTATTCTCCACTTCACTTACTCGACTTTACTCACCTTGGTATTTTGTCATTGCTTGCATACTAAGAGTGTTCTCTGTGCTTGGAGTTCTTTTCCCCCAGATGGCTTATTACTTAGCTCCATGTAGGTCTTTGTGCAAAATTTATTTTTTAGGAACGGCCTGCCTGTTTGCTTCTATCAAAAATAATCTCGCTCTTATCTATCACTCTGTATCCTTTTTAGTTTTCTTCATGACTCTTATTGTCACTTTCTTCTTCTAGATCCAGTGGAGTGTTTACTATTTCCTGGGTATTTAGAATAGTCTTTAGCATGTCAATTAATATTTAGAGAGAGTAAAAAAAATTTTCATATAAAAATGCTTTATTATTTTTCACTGTGTCATTAATTGTACTATTTATCATTGATTTATAATAAAACTAAAATCAAATTTGATTAAATTAAAACTGATGAACAGTGTAACATGTTTAATTAAAAACTAACAGGGCCAGGTATGGTGGCTCATAGATGTAATCCCAGCACTTGGGAAGGCCTAGGTGGGAGGATTGCTTGAAGCCTGGATTTAAGACCAACTTGGGCAACATAGCAAGACATAGCAAGACCTCATGTCCACAAAACAAAAAAAAAGAGAGAGAGAGAGAGAAAAGAAAGCAGTAACCACTCAATAACAAAATTAGCAACACATAAGAATGAGCATGATTAAATATTAACACAAATGTTCATGCCAAAAAAATGATAGGGAAAAGGAACATAATTACTATATGAAGTTGTTTAAAGGGAAGTATTGTAGACTTTTGGAAGGGTTAACTGCTTCCTAAAGTAATGTAGCTGGTAATGACTACCAGTATTTTAGACTTGGGCCTTTGGAATCGAATAAGTTTGTATGGTCTTGGATTTTTTTTTTTTTTAATTTATTTCTGTAGATATGGGGTCTTGTTATGTTGCCTGGGCTGATATTGAACTCCTAACCTCAAGGAGTCTTCCCACCCTGGCCTCCCAAAGTGCTGGGATTACTGGCATGAGCCACCATGCCCAGCTATATTATCTTGGATTAAATAACCTCTTTTTATCACATAATTTCAAAGGTGTAAAGTGAATCAATATTAATAGAACCTACCTTGTCGACTTACTACTTATCGTAGTACGTACTGAATGTGATAAAGTATATGTTTTTTTTTTTTTGAGTTGGAATCTCACTCTGTCACCCGCTCCCGGCCACCGCAGCCTTGACCTGTTGGACTCCGGTGATCCTTCCACCTCACCGGAATTACAGACATGCGCTACCACGCCCGGCTGATTTTTTGGATTTATTGTAGAGATGAGGTCTCGCTGCCCAGGCAGGTCTCGAACCCGCAGGCTCAGGCAATCCACTCACCTCAGCCTCCCAAAGGCGCGGGATTACAGGCTGAGCCACTGAGCCCGGCATGATAAAGTATATGAAGTACTAGGCACGTGCCTGCCACATAGTATTTAAAAAACTTAGCTATCTTCACCATTTCATAATGTAGAGGTATTTCATGTGATGGTCACGTTTTCTAAAATGTTTAAGTAGCTTAGTTCCTAAAGTTTTACACAGTTCTAAGCATAAGTTCCTTGAGTCAGTATTTCTCAATTTGTATGTATAATTTAAGAATTAATAGATTTACATCAACTCTCGTCTCAACAAAAATAAGGAAGATGAGAAGTTGATTATCTAAATGATATGTTGCTAAATGAGTTCATTATATTTCAGGGTACCAGTATTTTTACTTTGCAAAACTATCTAATACATCCTTAGGACTTTTTTTTTTCTTTGAGTTGGAGTCTCACTCTGTTTCCCCGACTGGAGTACAGTAGCACATTCACAGCCACCACAGCCTCGACCTGCTGGGCTCAGGTGATCCTTCCGCCTCAGCCTTCCCAGTATCTGGAACTACAGGCACATGCCACCATGCCTGGCTAATTTTTTGATTTATTGTTGAGACGAGGCCTGGCCAAGTTGCTCAGGCTGGTCTTGAACCTGTTGTCTCAGGCAGTCCTCTCACCTCAGCCTCCCAAAGTAGTGGAATTATAGGCATGAGCCAGCTCACCTGGCCCTCTTAGGACTTAATTCTTGAACATATCAGCACTTTATATCTGTAAAAATTTAAGAAAAAATTTTGCATATATAAGAATTCAAACTGGGATCACTAGCAAATGCTACCAGTTTAAGTTACATGCTAATAATAGTGAGAAGCAATGTATGGTCTCCATTTGCATGAAAGAAGGTAGGAAGAAAAGTATGTAAGGCATATTAATCTAAAAAATATATTATCTGTTGATGGTGAACATTTGAATGTTTATTTTCTTGTTTAGCCTTCTACTCTAATACCTTTTTTAAAAATAATGCTTTTTTGAGAAAATTTAGAAAATTTTGCCTTCTTTTTCTATCTGATATTATATGTTAGCACTTTTTTCTCATTTCTAAATTTTTTACATTATTTTAATAGGAACATAGTTTTTCATCCTGCAAGTTTACCATAGTTTGTCATTTGCAGTTTTTGTTGAATATTTACATGAAGTTTTTTAGTAGTATACATCATGTTCTGTGAATAATCTGTAAAGCTTTTTGTGTTCATATATACTTTTACTTTAGAATTTTAGAAGTAGATTACTGTTAAGGTGTGTGAAGAATTTGTGACATTGTTAATGTTACCACAGTTACCAGTTGTCTTCCAAAAAGATTATACCTGTTAACATTTCTGACAATAATGAGAGTACAAATTTCAGCTCATGCTTTCCTACATTGCTCATTATAATTAAAATCTTTCTTGGGTTTGTGAGGTTAAAAAAAGTGATAATTTGATCTTATTTGATTACTAATAAGGCCATGCACTTTTTGCATGTTTTTTGATCATTTGTATTTTTTTTGTATATTCCTGCTCCTTTTTCTATTGGGTTGTTCCAACTTGTCATACTGTTGAAATATTTTTATATTTTAATTTTCATTAAGCCATCTGTTTTGTTTATTGAAGATATTTTAATTGAAAAACAATATTTTGCGTGATAATAATATAGATATGTAAATAATTAGTGATTTAATTCTTTTTAAGAAGAATCTTGAAATGGGGTTTTTCTTGTACTTTCACATTACCACAACAATCAACAACACAAAAGAAAATTTCTGTGACTAAAGGTGTGGATTTTTTCTTCCCCATACACCAAGCAGTGGACACCAATTGGCTGTTATCCACTTCAATTCCAATACCATCTACCTGGAGATAGTGTCAGATCCCATAGGTTGGTGGCTCAGTGCCCAAGACTGCACCCTGCATCCAGACACTAGTCACAATCAGGGCCTCTGGAATTTCTGACTGACCAGATTCAAAGTTAGAGTCACCATAATTCCCTCTTTGGGTTTGATTCATTTGCTGGAGTGACTCACAGAACTCAGGAAAATACTTCCTTTACCAGCTTATTATAAAGGATATTACAAAGGATACAGATGAAGAGATGGGTAGGATGAGGCATGGGGGAAGGGATGTAGAGCTTCCATGTCCTCCCTAGTCGCTACCTTCCAGAAACTTTCATGTGTTCAGCTATGGGAAGCTTTCCAAACCCTGTCCTCTTGGATTCCCAGGGTATAGGGTCTGTCCCTCTCTGGGTCTTAAGCTCCACAATCAGAAAGGTGGAGGAAGATTAGAGTCCTGCCTTGGGGCAGGTGAAAGGAGTAATGAAAAAGGTCATAGAGATTTTGTTTCCTGAGGCCTGCCCGAGGCCTAACACTTAACTTAAAAGACTAACAAGAACTATGGGAGTCATAAGTCAGGAACTGTGAACGAAAACCAGAACATTTAATAATACCATAAGTTCTATTTTAAGTTACCCCGTAATAGAAGCTGTTTTATTTTTCCAGGTAATGTTAAGCACTCTTCTATGAAAGTTTGTTAAAGCATATTTATTTTGTAAACTAGGAGCCTTTTGTGGCTGATGAGTATATTGAACGACTTGTGTGGCGAACCCCAGGAGGAGGCTCTAGAGGTGGACCTGAAGCTTTTGATCCTAAAAGGTAATTTTTTTTTCTGTAGAACCAATCTAGTACAAATTTGGATTAGACGATAAAAATAATTCAAGAGAGCATTGTTGAGTATAAGAATGTAATGTTTCCTCCAACTAGTAATAAATTACAAAAGGTTGGTTATCCTTCTAAAATAAAAACATATTGAACATGTTGTTTTAAGTATAGTTGTAAATTGGAGGGGCAGAAAGTCACTGAGCTTTGGAATGTATATTGCTTTTATATAGTACATTTATCTTCTTGACTTTTTTTTTTTTTGGGTCGGAGGTCTTAGTCTTGCCCAGGCAGTAGCATGATCACAGCTCACCACAGCTTCCACCTCCTGGGCACAGGTGATTCTTTTGCCTCAAATCCTGAGTAGCTGGGACTAGAGATGTGTGCCACCACACCTGGCTAATTTTTTGTAGAGACAGGTCTCACTCAGTTGCCTAGGCTAGTCTTGTAATGCCTGGATTCAAGCAATCCTCCTGCCTCCCCAAATGTTGGGATTATAGGTGTGAGCTGCCACACCTTTGACTGCTTTAAATAGACTGTAAATTTTGTTTCTATTCTAGGGGTTTAATGGGAATTCTGAGTAAGGTTTTCATTCACCTTAGAGATAATCCAGTAAAAAGTCAATAGTTAAAGACTGACTTAGTTTCAAATATCATGTTTGTTTTAAAGCTAGTATCCTGGACAAAGCTATGAAGAAGTCATGAAGTTATAGAAAGACTTGATCTTTTGATTGAAGAAATGTCTAACAAGAATGCTATAGAGAAAATTAACATGATCATTTCAAGCCCAAGGAATTCTTTTATTTTTTAAATTTTTTCCCCACTTGTTTTTATAAATTATCAAGGAACTCTTATTAAGACTTTCTTTCCTATTATAAACTTTCTTTATGATTATAAGTGAATGTTTATTCCTAATAATAATAGATATTTATTCTAACTTTTCTCTATTAGATTATTGGAAGAATTTGTAAATCATATTCAAGAACTGCAGATAATGGATGAAAGGATTCAGAGGAAAGTAGAGAAATTAGAGCAACAATGTCAGAAAGAAGCCAAGGAATTTGCCAGGAAGGTACAAGAACTCCAGAAAAGCAATCAGGTAAATATTTAGTTAAGTGATGGATATTTTATATAGGCTATAATGTCTTTATTTCTTCTCAGTTTTAAGCTCCTAAAAAAGTCTGATCAAATGATAGTAACTGTCAGGGTTTCTCTCTACTAATCTAGTCCCGTGGCATAAAATGTTAATGAATCGTTATGAGGTACTCTTGACAGTAACTTTATACAGAGTGTTGTTTTGGGATCACAGTACTCCCTTCTCAGGGTGGGACAGTATCCAGTTCAGTGTGATCCTTGCTTCCCCTCTAACAATGCAAATTTAAAAATGGCAATCCTCAGAAGACCTGCAATTTTAATGATCCTTTATTAGCTTCGATATTTAGGTAGCCATTTGCATTCTTGTTAGTCATCAAAGTAGAATGAGACCAACTATTGCCTGGATCAGGTTTTTCCCTAGAGAAAACCTGGTCTGGGAAGTTTCCCAGAAGTCATGCGGGGTGTGGTCGGGTGAGAATTCTAGCGTAGTATAGGAAAAGCAGACACAGAACTCTTCTTCAGTCCATTTTGGAGTAAAACCAAACCACTTGCTTGGTCCTGGGGCTATGTATGTTAAACTTCTTAGTTATTCTTAGGCCCTAGGTTTAATCTTCAACTTCTGAATTCCTTTCACAGGCTGGGCCTGATCTGGAATTTGATGGCCCTTTCTAAGTATAGTTTGAGGCGTATTATTTAGCTTTGCTGCCTCCCAGGGGCTATTAGTTCTTTACTGTCAGGACTAAGCAGACTGATTTCTGCTAAAATTGTACTTATACTCATATATGGCTGTGTGAAAATATTTATTTAAGGAAGTCAGTAATTTAAAGAAGATAGGAAATTTGTTTTTAAGTAACTGAAGTGATAGTTTCCAAATTCCTTTAATGCCGTTTTCCTTTGGTAATAATAATAATAGTATTAATAGTTCAGCTAATAAACTCTGGAGCCAGTCTGCCTGAGTTTGAATTGCAGCTCTGCATTTTGTAAACTGTGATCTCAAGCAACTTAACTTCTCTTTGCCTCAGTTTTTTTCATCTGTAGATGTTGAGAGAATTATTTAAGTAAATATCTGTAATATGCTTAGGACAGTGGCTAATCTAATACAGAGGAAGTCCTCAATAAATGTAGCTTTTTCTCCGTCATTTTAAGGTTAGAACAAGAATACCATACTAGATGATCAGCAGTTCTGCTATTGGCAATTATAAGGTAGACAATCAGTGTATCCTGGGAGAAGGAAAACATATTGTAGGAAGTAATGTTCTTTTGCCTTAGTAAAATAATTGCTGCAATCTTTTCTTTTTTCAAAACTGGGAAAAAACAATTTTGCTTTATATATAATATTAACATCACTTTTTAAATATTTATAATAAATCTTAAGTAGTCTGTTTTAAATCAATATCTTTTACTATTGATGTTTTTTATTCTTTTCAGTACAGTAGCAAGAGAGTTCTTAAGATGTTTGGTTCTTTTGATACTTAGTACATTTTTTTAGAATCATTAGGGCTAAATGGTGCTGAATTCTTTATTAAAACAGGATGAGCAGAAAGTAGCTTTGCTTTTTTTGTTGATTAACAAATAAATGTGTTTATGATAAATATTATTTTAAAAGTTAATGGTATAAAAGTTTACAACTTGGTTAACAGATTTTCAGGTAATGTCCTCCTAATGACATTTTGGAGATCATCTCATAACTTTTATGTTATCTTTAGTTACAGAAATTAGTGATAAGTTTGGTAGTTTAGTTTTCACATGTGTTTACTTATAAGCTGAGTTCTCTGTATTTTATACTAATATACATTTTTCCCAGGTTGCCTTCCAACATTTCCAAGAACTGGATGAGCACATTAGCTATGTAGCAACCAAGGTTTGTCACCTTGGAGACCAGCTGGAGGGGGTAAACACACCCAGACAGCGGGCAGTGGAGGCTCAGAAATTGATGAAATACTTTAATGAGTTTCTAGATGGACAATTGAAATCTGATGTTTTTACAAATTCTGAAAAGGTAAGCAACTGTCAGAGGATAAAAGCAAATCACAGTGCTAATAACAATGCCTAATTAATAACAATGCCTAATTATAAGCTACAGTAATTACTTCCCAGAGTCTGACTTAAATCACTGAGTAGCTGACTTACTAAAAGTTTTATTATTATGTTAATACACTTGTCTATAGATTGCTGATGAAGTGTTAATATGCAAATTTTTAATTGGATAATTTGGCATTTTTGTTTATGAAATTATGCGTGGCTTAAAAATATTGAGCTATGTTCATAAGTATTTCTTTACCATAAATGACTTAACAATTTTTCTAGTCTCTGAATAGTTACATAACATTGGTTAGCTATGATGCAGTCTGACCTAAATCATTGATAAACTGAAGTATCTTTTTATAAAGGGATTCAGAACTGTTTTTTTTTTACTTATAAAGATCTTTTATAAAGAATTAAAGCAGTTTGAACCAAGGAAAATTGAAAAAAATCGAATTAATTATTTTTGTTAATCCTTTTCATAGCACCAATCACTTAAGGGTACATGATATTGGCTGCTGTACAGTCTTATAAGAAGGTAATTTAGCTTGCTTTCTTCCATACAGGTAAAAAAAAACATAGGAACATTGTCCACTCTTATGTGAAGTACAGTCCTCCTGAATTATTCCAATTATTTGTTCCATAGACTTATCTCAGATAGTGGAAAGTTAAAAGCTAAATATTGAAGTTTACTTTGAATTAAGCAACATATTTTTTGTGAGTAGAACTCTATAGGGTTATAAAATGCATCATTTTTAGAGTTCTTTGAAAAATAGTTGTATATGTATAGATGATTTCTCTGAAGAAAAAACAGTATTTTTAAAAAATGAATTTCAGGGTCGATTGTGGTGGCTCATTCCTGTAATCCCAGCACTTTGGGAGGCGGAGGCAAGAGGACTGCCTGAGCTCAGGGGCTCGAGACCAGCCTGGGCAACATAGCAAGGCCTCATCTCTATAATAAGTCAAAAAATTATCCAGGCATGGTGCTGCACGCCTGTAGCTCCAGTTACTTGGAAAGTTGAGGTGGAAGGATCACCTGAGCCCAACAGGTCAAGGCTGCGGTGGCTGTGAGCGTGCCGCTGCTCCCAGCCTGGGTGATAGTGAAACTTCAACACATACACATACACACACACACACACACACACACACACACACACACACACACACTCTCTCTCTCTCTCTCTCTCTCTCTCTCTCTATTAGTTTGAGGAATTATTTTTATAGTAAATATGTAAAACTGGTAAGTTACTGGAAATATCTAACTTTTACACATTTATGTGTTTTTTATATATGAGTATATATAAGGCTTAAACAGCAAACTTTTTCATATTAGTTTATGGAATGTTTTATTTTTTAAAGTTTTCTAAATATAAACATATTTGTAATATAAGGTACTTATTTGTAGCATACATATTATATTAAAATTATTTTTTATATATTAAAAATTATATATACTTCACATTTGATACCTTAGATTATACCTATTGGATTTTGTAGGCTATTTGTGTTATAAACAAAATGCAAATATTTTACCCAATGTGAGTTGGCCTGTTTATTTGAATGCAGCTCAAGGTAGTCATTTTGAATCTGGAGAAAAATAAATGTTCTTAAATTGACTTATTTTATTTATTTTTAACCGTATTTGTATTGCTTGTAATGTTTTGCATCATGAAAAGTTTACATTTTCCTTTAAACTTTCAAATTATCTTCAGGTAATTATGTAGTTATTGGTGTTACTGTTGTCTTTTTACTTTTGAGGTTCTAATTAAAAGACAAGATCTTTATACTTGCTAGTTCATTCACTTGGTTACTCAGCCATCTGTAATTTTTGAGAAGCAGTATAGACAGAATATTTGAGACAAATTCTTATTGTCTTTCTTTTGCTTCACTTTTCTATGTCCCTATTTCTTTCTTCTCCTTTATTGTTTATTTTCTTATACTTAATTCCTCCTTTCCCAATTGCCTTGTTTTTTGCTCATCTCTCCCGCAAGTTTTGTGTTACTGTTGCTGAGAATTAATTTTTGGCCTGATTCTTAAACTAACCACAGTTGAGATTGCCAGTTATCAGATAAACTTCTTGCTAACTTAATTTTTGGAATCTGTGCCAGTCACCTTCCCAATGGAAAGAAAAGGAAAAGCACCCACAGTGGTGTGTGATTGTGGGAGGAAATTGAATGGGATAAGACATCAACACCTTTTGTTTCCTTTTCTTGTTATTCCCTGGTCATTTTTGTTTCTTTAATCTTTACTTTTTAGAATCTTCTCATCTTCTTTTCTGAAAAACAAAAACAAAGCCTATTTTATGTTTCCTTCTTTTCTTACATGTATGTTGGTGGTGGTTCTTCCTAGAATGGCAGCTCAGGTGGCTAATACTTGATGACTCTGATTATCTTCAGCACTGTTTATTAGCATGAGTGGTCTTCTCACCTCACTCAGATATCAATAACAGATGTAAGCAAATTATTAGATTGTAGTTTTGGCAGCTTGTGCTCTTAATGTTGTAATATATTTTAGTACATGGTGAGGACTTCTGTCTTTTAAAATGATAAGAATAAACTCCTGATGAAACCTGAGAGCTGGCTGTGTGCCAGATACATTCTTTCTGAAGGGTGATGTTGGTGAGGAGAAAATGATGGACTTTGTTGCTAGCACAACCAAGTGGCGTATGGTGAGAGGAGGTATTGCAGTGACACCAGTGTTCAGTGCAGCAGGATAGAGTGAGTGTTAGGTAGTTTAAAATGACAGTAACCTGCTTACTAGGAGAGAAAAAATAAATGAAGCAGAAATGTTATCCTCACTATCATCTGGAGCAAGAAGTAGGGACAGGTTCTACTGTTGTTTAGTTGCTTGCCAAAGTTCACATGAGTACTTTGAAAAATTTGTCAGTATTCTCAGGTCTTCTTTCGTATTTATAAGATTCTTTCCTTTTGAATGTAAAAGAAAAGGAATCATAAAGTCAAATATTCAAGTTGTACTAAAAACTCAATACTAATTTGAAATTTAAAGAAAAAAATTAATGTTATACAATTTCTCAGCACTATTGTCTAAATAAGTACAGATATCTGCATTTAAATAACTTTAGAATCCTTGCCGAATAGGTTCCTTAGTTTCACAATTTGGATAAATAAACACATTTCTGTACTGTATTTTATTCAGGAGACCTTATGTTAAACTTTCTCTCTGCTTTTCTAACAAGTGTCGTAAATTCATATGGTCATTAAATGATAGGCATTTTTGTCATTTTATTCACTTAGCTTAAAGTAGGATATATGCAGCAGTATGTCCTACATCATTTTTATAAATCTTGTTTACCCTTTTGGGATTTATAAACCTAGAAGAGACTTATAGTTGGCTTTCAGCAAGCAATGATTTGAATTTCTTCAGAATAAACTTGAATTAAAGTTTCACTGGAAAGAGAGTATGGCATCAAAAAAAAAAAAAATTGAAATTTTGATACCAGAAAGACAGATGCTTGTTTATGAAAGATGTTTATGTTTTACTGAATCATTATTGGTGACACCCAAATGTATTCTTGTTGCTCATAAAGTTTTATTTATTGTGGATTTTTAAAAGAAAATTATTTGAGGAGAGACTGTGTGCATATATAGGATACTATTACTACTTTCAAATATATAATTATTTTTTGATTTTCATAAGAGGTTTTTAAAAATGATTGCTTTTATTTATTTTTTTAATAGATAAAGGAGGCAGCAGACATCATTCAGAAGTTGCACCTAATCGCCCAGGAGTTACCTTTTGATAGGCAAGTTTATTTCTCAAGGGCTAATTTGGATACATGGTGTATTTTATAGAATAAAATTGTATTTTTTTTCTCTATATGATTTTATTTGTCCTTTAATTAAATAAGAACTTATTGAGCACCTCCTTGTACCAGATACCGTATAAGACAGTTTATTGAAGACATCATATGGTTCTTAATATCTAAATTTAATAATATGTCTTAAAATAATTTCAATCCCTTGTCTTCTGAAAAAAATGATGAAGGACAATTTTTAAACTGACTGAAGTAAACTTCTGAATTTTCATATTTTGGACTTTGAGAACTAGGAAGGGGACAAAGAGGGTTTAAGTGTGGTGCTATCCAACTGCTTTTTTCTATTTCTAGATGAAAGTTTTTAAGTTTTTTGGGCTCTTGATGCCTTTGTAAAGCTGATGAAAGCTATCAAGTTTCTTAAGATAAACACAGATTATTGTATATAATTTCATGGCGTTTTAGACTCATTAAGCTATCTATAGAACCTTTCCTAGGGATCTCAGGTTAAGAACCCTTATTTTAAATGCAAGGCCCCAGGACCATTGCTAAGTTAGATTTCATCTTAAAATAAACTGTCTACTGAAAAGGAAACTTTTTCATGATTTCTTCTAGTCTGTGAAACATCAGACACTTTAATAAATTCTTGATGGTAATACTTCCCTCACTGTGAATGTCTGAACAAAATAGGGCTTTCTGTATGACAGATTATGTATATATAATTTTGTTGATGATATTTGAAGATCTTCAAGAACAGATAAAATATGAATGTAGCCGGGCTTGGTGGCTCAGCCTGCAGTCCCAGCACTTTGAGAGGCCAAAGCGAGTGGATTGCCTGAACCAGTGGTTTTGAGACCAGCCCAGGCAACCTGGTGAGACCTTATCTCTACAATAAATCAAAGATTAGGCAGGTGTGGTAGCCTGCGCCTATAGTTCTGGCTACTTGGAAGGCTGAGGCAGAAGGACGACCGGAGCCCAGTAGGTCGACACAGGGGTGGTAGTGTGCCACTGCACTCCAGCCTGGGTGACAGTGAGACTCCAAATCAAAAAAAAAAATGTATTGCTGCTGTACTTAAAGCTTAGCTCCCAAACATGTTATAAATTCCCCCTAAAATGTCTCTATTCTCAACTCTGTACTTTACAAAGGATTAGCAATAATGATCGTTAGTAATAGTTTTAGATTTACAGAAAAATTGCAAAGATAGTATGGAGGTTCCCATATGCCCCTACAGCCAGTTTCTTCTTTTGTTAGCATCCTATGTTACTGTAGTAATGTAACTAATAATAACTAATTAACCTTTTTGGTTTTTTTCAGATTTTCAGAAGTAAAATCCAAAATTGCAAGTAAGTGTATTCTATGTATTTACATTTTTTTTTGAATAAGTGAAAAAAACCCAAAGCTACTTGTCTTAAAAAGCAAAAAACAGAAAACAAAAAACCAGCAGAGAGAGAAAGTGGGAACAGTGTTATCCTCCCATCTCATTCCTGAATTTGATTCCCTTCCCTGAAAACACCTGTCTCTTGGGTATTCTACTAGAATAATTTATAGATAGATATATAAACATAAAACATAAATTAAAAAATATATATGTAGTTCTATCCTCATTTATGTTAAAATAACTAGTAGCATACTATACAAATAGCTTTTAGGCTTTGTATTTTTAATTTAACAATGTATTTTAGAAATTGGTATCCATACATATATCTCTGAATAAGTTTTTTTTGTTTGTTTTTTAAGCTAAGATCATAGGAGTATTTCAATACCTATTTAACTCCTTATATATTTGGTTCTTGCCAATCTTGAATTTTATTTTAGGTTAGATCATTCTAGGTTTCTGGAAAGACCATATTTGCAGACTCTATGGTATCCTGGGGCACTGTTGGTAGGCCATTGCTTAGAAGATTCAAAGAACCACTTGTATTCCTAAAAGTCTTAGAATTAGGATGACACAGATAGTTGGACTTCCTGGGAACATTTTTGACCACTATAATTAGTATGTTCATTAAGAACCATACTAACCTTAAAAATATAGTTAATACCACATGTTATCCAAAGATGAAATTTGGTGTTCAAACCACCGTTGTTCATGGTAAAGGCATCTGAACTCTAGTAAAGAATTCTGTACTCCTCTTCACCCTTTTCATAGCTTTGTGTTTAAGGTTTTTTCTGTCTGTTGCTGTCAGATATGGCTTCTGAAGGATTTTTTTCAGTCAGCTGCTGTTTTAAGTAACAGTGGTAAATGGCAGTCGGACCCTGGGAAGCTCAGCTATTTGACCAGTTTGGACATTTTTTTGTGTCTTGAAAATAGAGATTTATATACCATAGTATTTTATAGGAGCTAGATTCACTATAATCTCATGCTGTTTTTGTAGTTCTTTCAGAAGAAAGATCCATATCATTATACTTGTAAATAATTTATGTACTCCTAAACAACTTGGATACTTTGTATGTCTCAGTGTAGCTGACTGATTTTATTTTTAGGCAAATACCATGATTTAGAATGCCAACTGATTCAGGAGTTTACCAGTGCTCAAAGAAGAGGTGAAATCTCCAGAATGAGAGAAGTAGCAGCAGTTTTACTTCATTTTAAGGTAAATAGTAAAAATTAAAAGTCAATACTAGTCTGTAAGGTTATGGAGAATTTACAAGTTCTATTTATTGTAGTTGTTGGCTTTCTCCTGTTAGTTGTATAACTAAATAACAGTGATAATTTCCATTGTTTTGAATAATTTGAATGTACATTTTGTCTGTCTGTAAATGATGTTAAATGTCAGATATTCAATATTTAAATAAGGATTTTATATTCAATATTATTAATGTTATATCAATGAATTTTGATATAGTTTGATTTTTAAAATTCATATTATCTGCCTTCTTGCTTTTAAACATATTGTTTTTCAGTCACACATGTTATGAAATAGTTCAAAAGCAGGACAACTTGACTCTAAATATCTAATGGAATATAGGAACCAGAGAGTAGATATAGATAGAATGTGACTAGTAAAATAAGTGAGCATCTCAAGAGGTAATACAAAGGAGTGTTGTGTTATGGAATTATTTTCCTGGAGGTGGAATTGGGAAGAGAATCTCTGTGTGGGACTATATTTCTGCAAAGAAAGTACTTAAGTGATTCTTCCTTCCATTTATTTATTAATATTTGTATCAGATTAGGGAAAAAGAAGCTGTTTGTTGGACTTTTCATTTGGTAACATCTGAATGAGTGTTGAAAATGACACTTGAGATAGTGGTGCACTTTATATTGCTTACCTTACTTGTTTTTACATTTGATTTGGCAATAATCTCATTATAGTGAGCTCAGTATGACAGATTAGATTGTTTTACACACAGTTTATTAAAATGGATTCAGTTTAAAAGTAAATTTCCAGACTACCAATTAAACATAACTCTGTTTATATTTTTGCAGGGATAAGCAAATGCTTAGAATCCAAGAGAGGAAAGAAGGAAATATATATTCATAAAACCTTTTTCTCAAGACCTTGAATCTGTGTGTGTGTGTATGTGTGTGTGTGTGTGAGAGAGAGAGAGAGGGAATTGAAGATGGCTAGATGATCATAGGACAAAAATTAATGTAAAGAGCTCAGTTATACCTTAGCTTTCTTCTTTCAGTTTGAAGTCCCACAAGAATGTGAGCAAACTCATAAATTTTGTCATGGAAAGTGACTGGTAGAAGTCCAACAGCTATTGCTATTGGTCATTCGCTGGAATTTACACATAGTATTTATTACATATAATACTTCTTTTACTGAAATTATTTTTATTTAACCAGAATAGTGATAAAAGTGTTTTTTCTTTGTAGGGTTATTCCCATTGTGTTGATGTTTATATAAAGCAGTGCCAGGAGGTAATGTAACAGTACACTTTTACTGGATTTTATTTTATGCTAATTTGTGTTTTAAAAATTACGTATTCAATGTGTACATTGTCTCTGCTGTTTAGGGTGCTTACTTGAGAAATGATATATTTGAAGATGCTGCAATACTTTGTCAGCGAGTGAACAAACAAGTTGGAGATATCTTTAGTAATCCAGAAACAGTACTGGCTAAACTTATTCAAAATGTGTTTGAAATCAAACTACAGGTAATTTTAAATGGTGACAAATTGATTCTTTAGGCAATATATGAATTTTTTCTGTATTTTAAAAGTTTTTTAAAATTTAATTTACTTATATAGTAACATTAGGAATAGTAATCTAGTTAAGGGGAAAGGAAGCCTCATGCTTTTTTAAAAATGTTTTTGTTATTCAACAAGGAAAAGGTGATAATCACTAAGTTTTATCAGAGCACATGCTTACAATTTGCGTAGCATTAATAGTAATGTATTGTGGTATAGTAACCATAGATTTTTCTTTTTTGGTCCTTGGCCATTTGTGAAATTGAACAAGAGTTACAAGTGTCATTTGTAGATTTTATATATATATATATACACACACACACACATATATAAAATTATTTATATATATATAAATTTATTTATATATATCTATAAAATACTAACATGAAAAGGAAAACTACAGAAATTAATTTACAACTCCTATAGCATTATACTTTCGGACATTTCCTAAGCTATGTTTACCACTGGATTAAACAACACTAAATAAATATTTGTTTTTTTAAGCACAGTTGCAGACTTTTGAACCTTTTAAGGTACTGACATGTGTTGTGATACTGTAGAAGTGAAGTTGTAATGTACAGCATTTCACACGTTTACTGACCAAGAAATGCTATTTTAGAGTAATGCCTGTTAATGTCTCAAGGGACACTAATGTTACCAAGAACACAGTTTGGGAAATGCTGCTTTAAAAAATTACTCTATTGTAGCCTCAGATTTTTCTTGTGTGTTTTTGTTGCTGTTGTTTTTAATGTACCTCACAAGGCAGGATAGGCCAGTTTTAAAAGAAAATATATTAATAAATTCTTAATACTTATTTCCAAGATTGATATATATCTTATACAGGTAGATATGAGAAGTGATAAAATTTAGAAACTTGTTTTTTAATTTTTTTATGATTGGTCTATTTTCTATACATTGGCTTTTTGGTCGGATTTTAAATCAGAAAAGTTCAAAACTGTGGAATGATTTTTTAGAGGAAAAAATATCTTGATACGTTATAGAATTTAATATTACTTAATTAACATAATGTTGACTTTTTTTTAGAGTTTTGTGAAAGAGCAGTTAGAAGAATGTAGGAAGTCTGACGCAGAGCAATATCTCAAAAATCTCTATGATCTATATACAAGGTATATTTTTATTTATTAGAAAGTAGTACATCTTAAATTCTTTTTTAGTAGGAAATGGGAAAATGTTCAGGTATTCCAAGTAACAGTTTGTCAGATAGCAGTATGCCTTTTAACATTCAGTGCCTTTGGCTATATAGGCTAATATTGTACGAGGACAGCATTCTTAGTACGGCCACTTGAGAAATTGGGTGTTATATTTTATCTTAATGTACCTTAAATGAAACAAAGACCTTGTTTACCCTGAGATTCAAAAATTTTGTTTCTGGTTTTAAAATTGTAAACTAGCTCACTATTCTTTTTTGGTTTGTTTTTTTGTTTTTGTTTTGAGTTGGAGTCTTACTCTGTCGCTCAGACTAGAGTGCAATGGCCGCTCCTGGCCACCGCAGCCTCGACCTGCTGGGCTCGACCTGCTGGGCTCCGGCGATCCTTCCGCCTCAGCCTTCCAAGTAGCTGGAACGACAGGCGTGCGCTACCACACCCGGCTAATTTTTGATTTATTGTAGAGATGAGGTCTTGCCAAGTTGCCCAGGCGGGTCTCGAACCCGCGGGCTCAGGCAATCCACTCACCTCAGCCTCTCAAAGGGCCAGGACTACAGGCTGAGCCACCGAGCCCAACGGTTTTTTGTTTTTGAGAGACAGGGCCTCACTCTGACCCAGATGGGTGTGCAGTGGTACAGTCATAGCTCACGATAACCTTGAACTTTTGGGCTCAAGCAGTCCTCCTGTCTCAGCTTCCTGAGTAGCTGGAACTACAGACAGGAGCCATTGTACCTAGCTAGTTTTTAAAATTTTTTTGTAGAAATGAGGTCTTCCTATATGTTGCTTAGGCTTAGTTCACTATTCTTTTTTCCCTCTAAGTATTAGTATAAATATTTATCTGCAGTTAAAACTTTAGAACTGCAAGAGGAAGCAACATAGTCTTAACAAATGACAATTTCAGCTTTAAGTCTGATATAAGATTTTGTCTTGTGCTTTTGTAAATGGTGGTGTTACTCTTAGAAGCTTCATCTGGAGTTTTTTTTTTTTTTCCTTGACTTTTTTTCAACCCTGTTGCTGTTCTTCAGCATCTTCATTCGGGTAGGTTTTTCAAAAGTTATAATGAGGAAGTCCCTATCTTCAACAGTGGGAAATAAAAAAATTAAAGAAAAGTCCAAATGGACAAAGCCAAAAGAGAGTGAACAGAGAGTAGATCTCTCAGTACTATTTTGGGTACCATGTGATGAATGTCATTGGAGCAAACTTGATGTCAGTCTGCCACTGTTGCCATTTCTGAACTGATTCATTGTCTCACAGTTTCTTCTCCCAAGTGTTTAGGACAGTTCTCAAAACCATAATGTTGTCTGCAATGTTCTGCTCTGTATACAGTCTTATAGAGCTGCTGTCTGCATTCAAGTTACTCTCCCAAGGTTTAAGAAATGGTGGTTTACCATAAGTCATTAAAGTTACGTTGTTAACAATATAGATTCTTTAGTACTGTTATTATACCTAAAATATACTCTAATCTTCTTTTCCCCCCCTTTCTTGAAAAGAACCACCAATCTTTCCAGCAAGTTGATGGAGTTTAATTTAGGTACTGATAAACAGACTTTCTTGTCTAAGCTTATCAAATCCATTTTCATTTCCTATTTGGAGAACTATATTGAAGTGGAGACTGGATATTTGAAAAGCAGAAGTGCTATGATCCTACAGCGCTATTATGATTCAAAAAACCATCAAAAGAGATCTATTGGCACAGGAGGGTGAGTATTTTTGTTATATATTATTGTTTTCTAACATTGGACCAAATTTCGTCATAATTCAATCACTTTAGCTTAACTGTGTTTTATTCTTTTTGGGATTTTTTTTTTGAGTTGGATTCTTACTCCGTTGTCCAGGCTGGAGTGCAGTGGCACACTCACGGCCACCCCAGTGTCGGGACTCCAACGATCTATCCGCCTCAACCTTCCAAGTAGCTGGAACTACAGGCGCACTCTACCATACCCGGCTAATTTTTGATTTATTGTAGAGACGAGGTCTTGCCAAGTTGCCCAGGCTGGTCTTGAACCCACTGGCTCAGACAATCCACTTGACTTGACCTCCCAAAGTGCTGGGATTACAGGCTGAGCCACCGAGCCCGGCCACATATTATTGTTAATATGAAAAACATTAATCACTTTATTATATTTGTACAAAATTATCAAATATTTACTGTAATTAAAATTTTCTATGAAGAATTCTTTTAGTCCAGATTATTTATACTGTTGATCAAATGCTGCTCTTAAACCACATGTTGAAATAACATAACAGAAATTATTAAAATGTAAAGATACTTATCACTTAAAAAATAACTTTTAAAACTATAAAGCAGATTGCCAGTAATGTAAAGAGTTCAGTAGTTTCTTTTTCCTTTCCAAACAGAATAAAGTATTCCAGGTTATTGACTAAGAAGCATGTCTTTTTTTGTTGTTGTTTCAAATGAGGAAAAAATATAGTTCATAGCTTAGGTGCTCTGAATTGTTTTTTTTCAGTGACTTTGGCATGAGACTATTAAATTAATACCTTAAGGGCTGCAATTATTCACATACTAGAAGAAAATGACTTGCTGTAAGAATAGTTGGCATCTCAGTTACCAGACCTTGACTCCCTGGAACCCAATTGATTCTAGCAGGAGACAGAATGACTTCTGTGGAGACATAAACACCCAACCAGTTTTTTCCCAGTTTGTTGTATATAAAATAATGATCAGAGAAAAGCATAATTAGGAGTAAGAGGTAATATCTGAAAGTTGGTAGCAATGAATGAAAGAAAAACTAGAGAGCAATCATAAGAATTTTTAAGAAATAAATTCACAGTAGTCTGGAGCTGTATATTCTTGGAGCAAAACAAGTCTGATCTTCTAAGGAGACTCCATATAGTGAGTTCCACATGACCCTCAGTCGTTGAGAAAAGCTAAGTGATGTTTAATATATCTTGCTTAAGGTAACGAAGAAATGTACAATATGTTTACATGATGAATGTATTTAAAAATCACTTAAATTTTATTTTTAAATGGGACTATTTAGTTACCTTATTTGGAATGTTAATATATTTGAAATAGCTCAGTTCCTGAGGAAACCCAACGTGTTTTTGGCTGTTGAGTCATAACTGTAAAACTGAAAGGGACTTTGGAGATCATAAGTTTAAATCTATTCATTTTCCAGATGAAAGTCTTTTGTCTAAAGTTCAAGGCTTTCTTCCTGTCACAAGAAAAGTTATTGGAATTAGGATTTAGGTCTCTTGGTTATTGGCCCATTTTGTTGTTGCTGATGTTTGAGAATACTTGAAGTTGAAATCTATGTGTTCTTTTGTCTATGTGATGTACTAGTATTCAAGATTTGAAAGAGAGAATTAGACAACGCACCAATTTACCACTGGGGCCAAGTATCGATACTCATGGGGAAACTTTTCTATCCCAAGAAGTGGTGGTTAATCTTTTACAAGAAACCAAACAAGCCTTCGAAAGATGTCATAGGGTAAGAGTGATTGTAAATTTATTTTATTTATACATTTGTCCCTTGATATTTGTGGGGAATTGGTTCCAGGAGGACTCTCTGAGGATACCGAAATCCATGGATGCTGAAATATCACATAAAATGTGTAGTATTTGCACATAACCTATGCAACATCCTCTTGAATAATTTTAATCATTTCTAGATTACATATGATGCCGACTGCAATGTAAATGCTATGTAAATAATTATAACTGTATTGTTTAGAGAATACTTACAAGGAAAAAAGTCTGTATGTGTTCAGTGCAGATCAACCATCCTTTTGTTTTTTTACAAATATTTTTGAGCCGGGCTCGGTGGCTCAGCCTGTAATCCCGCGCCTTTGGGAGGCTGAGGTGAGTGGATTACCTGAGCCCGCGGATTCGAGACCCACCTGGGCAGCGAGACCTCATCTCTACAATAAATCCAAAAAAATCAGCTGGGCGTGGTAGCGCATACCTGTAATTCCGGCTACTCGGAAGGCTGAAGCGGAAGGATCACCAGAGCCCAGCAGATCGAGGCTGCGGTGGCCGGGAGTGGCCACTGCACTCCAGTCTGGGCGACAGAGTGAGACTCCAACTCAAAAAAATAAATAAAATAAACAAATATTTTTGAATCTATGGATACAGAACCCATGAATATAGGACGTGTGGATATCGAAGGTTGACTGTGTATAGTTGTGTATTTCAAGTTTTACCTCATTTATATTAAGATATAAGCCTATTCTGGTTAAGAGCAACTGTTTTTTATAATAAAATATAGGACTTTTGGAAAACAGAATTATTGTAAGATTAGGAATAAATTTTAATGTAATTTTAAATTAAAATTGAGTAGCTCAAATTTTTGTTTGGTAAGTATAAATGAAAATATGAAAGGGAGGGTTAGAACTTTCTCATAAAGAAGTGGAACATCAGGGAAAGAACAGTGTTTTAAGAACAAAGATGTCAAGAGGAAAGAATGGAAATTTGGCTCTAATAAAATATAGAAGCTCTCTCTAACAAACACACTTTAAACAAAGTAAACAGACAAATGATAGCCTGTGAGATATTATTTGTAACTGATACTACTAGCAAAAGATTGTGTGAAACAATACAAGCTAATAGTTTTATAAAACATAATATGTTCCAGGCACTATTCTAAGCACTTTAAGTATATGTATTATTAACTCTTTCCATCATCAAAACAACCCTGTCAGGTTGTTATTTTTGTTTACAAATGAAGAACTAAGATACACAGCTCTTAAGTAGTGCAACTGAGAGTTTAAACTCTCAATTAGAGTATTTTTACTAATATTGTTTATATAATCTATATATTTATACTGAGGGTATTAAATCAATATAAATTATACATATAAATCAATAGAAAACAAATCAAGAAATTCTCATAAGCAATTTACAGAAAATGTAAATTACCAATATAATATTCAATCTTACTAATAGAAAAATCAACTTAAAATAGGAGAACTGCCATCTCATTTTCATTAGGCTGGGATAAAGTAAGAAGTCTGATAATACGAAGCGTTGAGAAGGAAGTGGAGCAATAGGAATACTCACACACTACTAGTGGGAATGAAATTGGTACAGTTACTTTGAGGAGTATTTGCCAATTATTCAGAGAAGCTCATATGCTCATGTGATATAGTTAACATCGTAGCAGTATTGTTTGTCATTCAGAGTAAAAAATTAGAAGCAATCTCAGTGTCCATCAAAAAGAGCATGACAAATTGGTGTATTGTTCATACACTAGAAAACTGCACAACAGTTTAAATGAGTGAAGTAAAGTTACATATATTTTGATTTTCTGTATAGTCTATTCTTTTGTCTGTCCATAAAGACAATTTATTTTTCTCTAATATTGAAACCTTTTATTTTGTTCTTTTGCCATGAATAAATCTCAGAAATACTTAGTGATATGACTGGATTATGTAGTATTTATTTTTAAGAAATTGCCGGACTGACAGTGTATAGTGTATAGTGAGATCTCATTATAGTTTAGTTTTCATTTTCCTAATATACTGCTGATTAATGTTGAGCATTTTTTCATGTGCTTATTCGTCATCCACACATACACTCTGGTGAAGTTTTGTTCAGATCTTATGTGCATTGTTAAATTGAGTTGCCAGATTTTTTATTTTTTGAGAGTTCTATATTCTGGGTACCATTTGTTTATCAGATATGTGATTTGCAATTTGTTTTTCATTCTATAGCTTTTTTTTTAATTCTCTTAACAGTATTTCAAGGATAGAAGGTCTTAATTTTGATGAAATCCAATTTAACACTGTTATGGATGGTAGTTTTAGTATCATATATAAGAAATCTTAGCCTAACCAAAGGTTACAAAATTTCCTCATATGTTTTCTTCTAGTAGTTTTATACTTTGCGGCTTTACATTTAGATTCATAATAATTTTGAATCAACTTACGTTATCGTACAATATATGGATCAAAGTTCATTTTTTTAAAAAGTATCCAATTGCTTCACTATCATTTATTGAAAAGACTATCCTTTCTCCACTGAATTGCTTTTGTACTTTGATCAGAAATTAATTGAAAATTCAACGTGGGTCTGTTTCTGGATGCTGTGCTGTTCCATTGATCTGTTTGTCTTTAGATTAGGAAAATGAAAACTAATACTGTGCTGCCTTAATTGCTGTAACTTTAAAGTATATCTTGAATCAGGTAGTGTAAATCCTGTAACATTGTCACTGTGTGAAAAAAATGTCTGAGATTTTGATTGGAATTCCATTGAATCTATAGTTCTATTTGTGGAGAGTTGACTTATTTTTGATGCTATTATAGTGTAATACAAATGACATTTTTTAAAATGTATGTTTAATTTATAGTTTTAACTTAGTTGTTAGTATATGGAAATTCTATTGATTTTTATATGTTGCTCTTGTACCCTGCAGCCTAACTAAACTTGCTTGTTCTAATGGCTTTTTTGTTTTTGTAGATTTCACTCGATTTTCTATATAGTCTATTTTTTTGTCTGCCCATAAAGACAATTTATTTTTTTTCTAATATAGAAGCCTTTTATTTTGTTCTTTTGTCTTAATGCACTGGCCAGACTTCCAGTACAGTGTTGAAAATTAGTGGTGAAGCCGGGCTCAGTGGCTCAACCTGTAATCCCGCGCCTTGGGAGGCTGAGGTGAGTGGATTGTCTGAGCCCGTGGGTTCAAGACCCGCCTGGGCAACTCAGTGAGACCTCATCTCTACAATAAATCAAAAATTAGCCGGGT